ACCCCTCCTTGGGTTTCTGAGGCAGTATCACTACAGAAGTAGATTGCCCAACCTTCCTTCTGAGGAGTGGCTGGTGGGTTTGAACCACCAACCTTCTGGTTAGCAGCCCTCTGATTTTTTTTTTTTAATTTTTATTATGATTTGAGTGAAAGTTTGCAAAGCAAGTTCATTTTCCATACAGAAGTTCACACACATTTTGTCTCATGACATTGACTGTGATTACCCACAATGTAACAGCTCTTTGCCTAGTTCCTCCCCATAGTTCCCTCTTCCCTGTGTCCTTCCCTTCCATGTACTCCCACCCACTGAGCTGTCTCCTTGTGCAAACAATGCCTTTCTGTTCTCCCACAATTGATCACTCCAAGTAATCACCCCACGTGTCTGTCTGTTGTTTGGCTGGAAGCCACAGTAGTAAGTTCAATTCCAGACTTGAAGGGTGGCTAAGATAGCCTTCTGATTTTATATTTGAAAAATATAGTGATATATGTCTACAATTGGAACTTAATCATTGCACAGTCCCTCGATGACGCAAATGGATAAGCCCTCAACTAACTGAAAAGTTGATGGTCTGAACCCACCCAGAGGTGCCTGGAGAAACAGACCTGCTGATCTGCTTCTGAAAGGTCACAGCCTTGAAAACCCTGTGGTGCAGCTCTACTCTGCACACCTGAGGCCACTGTGAGTTGGAATTGACAAAACAAGTTACAGCACGTTAGAGCTGTCTCCAATCATTAATATTTCAAGGACCACTTTACCAGGGCAGTGGAAGCAAAGAGAACAAACCACATACAGTAGGTAAACATCAGACAGGTGACTTCATCACTCAGTTCCATTTAACTGAGGATGAGCACTAATTTCACTTCACCAGGTAGTGAGATGTGAGAGGGATGGAGGCCTCACAATAAAAAAGCTTAGCTGTAAACCCTTCCATTTAAGCGAAGCAATCTCTCTGCACCTCAATTTTCTCATTTGCAAATCCAGGATAATTAAATGTCTTTCATGGAATTATGGCAATTAAATGAAATAATCTCATTTAAGGCCATCCTGCCCAACTCTAATTTGTTACAATGCTATTGCTCCATCTCTTTGTGCTCTTCTACTCAGTCAGGAAGAGTGGTGGGTGGGTGGTGGGTGGTCCTTTCCAGTCTTGCTCTTGGTCATTGGGGATACTTTGATTAAGAGCTTGTGC